ACTGCTGGCTCATACCTGGCTTTCCTATAAGCTCTGAGGTGGCGGCGGCCACCTTGCTGCCAGGGGGGGGAAAAGGTGAAAGGGAGCAACACCCTTTCCCTCCAGGGGAGGCATGGCGCTGTAGTTTAACACATGGTCCATTCACTTTTCTGCTGCAAGCTGCCGGGTTCTGGATTAAGTCCTTTTGCCTCTGGAGCCATGGCCATGCCAGAGAGCCACTTGTGGGGGGCAACTCGTGAACTCAGTAGGGCATGAAGGACAAGCCAGTACTGCCCCCCTTCCCATGAGACTGCAGTTGCCCAGTCACCGCCGGCTCATACCTGGCCTTCCAATAAGCTCTGAGCCAGCAGCCACCTTGTATGCAGTCCAAATGCATTTCTGCCAAAAGCTGCTGGGTTTCAAGATTTGTTTCTGAGTCTCTGGGATCATGGCCGTTAATCAGCTTGATCAGGAGCCAGAGAGGCCATTTGTAGGCGGCGAATCAGGGTCTCGTTGGGATGGGGAGGAAAGGGCCGGTTCCACCCCCATCTGGTGAGGCCCCGCGTGACTCGTCACTGCAGGCCCAAACCTGACTGTCCAGTGGCCTCTGAAGGATGGTGGCCACTGGGCCGTCAGGGGGAACAGGCCAAGGCACGAAACCTATTCCCACCTGGGTTGGCCCAGCACCTGTAACTTACTGCAGGGACCGGATGCATTTCTGCCAAAAGCCTTTGGATTCCGAGATTTGTTTCTGAGTCTCTGGGATCATGGCCATTAAGCAGTTCGATCAGGAACCAAAGAGGCCTTGCCTCCAATTCTATAGCTGAGCCGGAGGTGGTTTGTGGGTGTGTCTCCCACATACCTAACTTTTGACTGTTTACTTTCTTGGTAAACTTTGCCCCAAGTTTTTGGGGTCTGGCCAAAGGCACAGCAGCAATTTTGGGGTATCTGAAAGTCTGACGTTGCCATCAGGTACAGGTACAGATTGACCTGCTGGCAGCACCATATCCCCTTAAATTTAACTTTTTGAGGAACCGCCAAACTGTTTTCCTTAGTAGCTTTTTTTTTTTAATCATTTTACTTCCACACTAATAGGTCACTAGAGTTCCAATTCCCCAACACTCTCACTAGCACCTGTTAATTTTTTGTGTTTTCAATAGGAGCCATCCTAAAGGATCAGGGGCAATAGCGATGGCATTGGGGGAGTTTTGCTTGTTTTCTTTTTCTCTTTTCATCTTGGGGACGGGCTGGAGCGATAGCACAGCGGTAGGGCGTTTGCCTTGCACGCAGCCAACATGGCCGACCCGAGTTCGATTCCTCCGCCCCTCTCAGAGAGCCCAGCAAGCTACCGAGAGTATTCGATATGCCAGACACAGTAACAACAAAGTCTCCAATGGAGACGTTACTGGGCCCGCTCGAGCAAATCGACGATCAACGGGAGGGCCTTTACCTTTACCTTTACCATCTTGGGGACACACTCAGCAGTACTCAGGGGTCTTGAGCTCGAGGGTCAGTCCTAGCAGTGCGTGGGCATAATGCAGTGTGGGTGACTGTACCCAGGATTCCTGCATGTGAAGCATGCACACACATCCTTCGAGTTATCACCCCTTATTGTGTTTTTTTCCCTGCATTTCCCTAGCAATTACTTCTTTTGTGCTCTTTGGTCATTTGTATATTTATTGGCTGCTTGTATATTTTCTTTGAAGAATATTCACTTGTCCATTTAAAAATGATGCTGACGATGATGTAGATGATGATGATGATGATGGTGATGATGACGTGTGATGCCAGGGATGGAACCCAGATCCTTATTCGCCTGTCTGTGCTCAGGTCTTACTCCTGATGTTGCTCAGGGGACCGTGTGTGGTGCCAGGGATTGAACGTAGATGGCTGGGTGCTAAGCAAGTGCCTTATCTACCAGACTATCCCTCCAGCCTCTAGTTTGTTCCTTCACCTTCTTTTCCTCTAGTTTGTTTTAATTTTCTTTCTTTTTCGGGTCACACCCGGCGGGGACTCCTGGCTCTATGCTCAGGAGTTATTCTCGGAGGTGTCAGGAGACCATGGAGTGCCAAGGACGGGACCTAGGTCTGCGTGCAAAGCATGTGCTCAGTTCCTTGAACACAAACCCGAGCCTAAACCAACTTTCCTTGAGCCACCCTCCGCTAACACAGCTACTGAAATGAAAAGGAGATGGGAGAAGGAGTATCCTATTTGTGAAACATGAAAATAATCACGGTGCTGAAGGTCCTGAAAATACCTTAAAAATGTTTAAGTCCTTTCAAAAGCAGACTACTGGGGCTGGAGGGACGGTGTAGTCGGCAGGATGCCTGCCTGGCACGCGGCCAGAGCAGTTTAATTCCCATATGGCCCTTCCCAGCCCCGCCAGAACTGATGCCTGAGTCCAGAGCCAGGGATAAGCCCTGAACACTGCAGGATGTGACCCCAAACAAACAAACAGAACAAAAGATTGATATTAAGATTCTAGAGTTCAACTCAAGAAGGCTTCGCTAGAACCAGGCGGCCAGTTCCTGAAATAAGTGCTTTCAGGTACGTCTGACTGACTCTTCATACTTGATACCAGAAGGGGCCACTGATACCCCTCCCCTCCCGCCTTCTGTCCCTTTCTCTTTCTCAGTGACGATCCAGTAGGTCGGACTACCAGTCTGCAAGTCTGCCCTCCCCAGCCCACCTGAGTGATCTGTAGTAGAGTTCTGCAGAATTTATGGCGATTTGGATTGAGATGCTGGCTTCAACACAAACACATCTCCATCCATACAACAATAAGACAAATCAATGTCATGAAGAGCTTAAGGTAAAAGTTTAGGTAGAAGTGACTGAGATAACAGACCTCAGACACCTCAGGAGAACAGTATGTACTGCCACCACCCCACCCAGCCGCACATGGTCAGAGTGCCACATCTAGAATCATCTCCACCGAGTGCATTATTTGAGGAAGATGAGAATAGTCTATGGAGACTCACACCGTGTGCACTGGGGTTGAGTTAGCAAACTTGTAAATTTGTTTTTCTGTTTAGTTTTTGGGCCACAACTAGCAGTGCGGGACCTACTCCTGGCTCTGTGCTGGGGAATCACTCCTGGTGGGGTTTTGGGAACCATCCATAGGTGCTTCCAGGCTCAAACCCGGGCTGGTCACGGGCTTGCAAAGCAAACACCCTACATGCTGTACTATCTCTATGGCCCCAAATTTATCTCTGCACTTCCTCATCGGTAACAGGAAATGAGGTGGGGCTGAAATGAGGTATACCCAAGAGTGAATCTATGGGACTCCCCCCCTCCCCACCATTTTTTGCTAGATAAATCAAGTTGTCTAATCCTACAGAAAAGGGGGGGAAAAAGCTATTTTCTAAACATTTAAGGATAGTTGAAAAGAAACCCTACCCTTTGTGTGGGTATTTAAGACCCTGAATTCATTTACGTTATGGAGTGGGACATACTGCTAAACCAAGCCCAGTCGTCATTTTTATTTAAAAGTAGCTTCTGTACTAGCCCCACCTAAACCTACGTATGCTCAGTATTCAGCCGGGCCATCCAATTTCTATACAGTCTAAGGGGCTGCCAAGAAGGAAAAGGCTCGGGAAGGGGCACTTCCCACCGCCCCGTTTAGCAGCCAGCAGAGGGGAGTTTCGATGTCCACGGGACGGAGGGAAACCCCTTCTGGAAACACCCGCAGAGGCGGGAAGGAAGTGGCCGCGGATAACCTCGGAGCGGGGCCTTGGGGGTCGGTGCGAAGTGAAGCCGGTCTGGATGAAATAAAGGCCAGGTGCTCCTCGTTAGGGGAAGGGGGATCGGGGGCGGGGGGGGGGGGGGCAGGACAACTGGGAGGAAGGGACAGCTGGAGGGAGGAGAGAGATGGGGAGAGAGAGAGAGAGGAGTCGGGGTGGGGGGGTGACCATCAGGTCCCGGAGCGGGTTCGGGTTTCGCAAGGCTCATAAAGGCAGAAGGGTGTAAAAGTCGGGCTGGGAAACTGCAGCGCCCACCGACGGGAAAAGCCCGCGGAGCCGTCAGCCGCAAAGAAAAAAAGAAAGAAAAAGAAGAAGAAAAAGAGGAAAAAGGGAAAAAAAGAAAGAGAAAAAAGAAAAAGAAAGAAAAAGTAAAAAGACAAGCAAAAAAGAAAAAGAGAAAAAAAGACAAGAAAAAAAAGAGAAAAAGAAAAAAGAAAAAGAAAAGAAAGAGGAGCCGGACGGGGGTGTGGGGCGTGGCCGGGCGGGCCGGGGCGAGCGGGAGGCGCGCGGGAGGGGGGGGGGCGCGGGGCGGCGGGCGCGGCGCCGACGGGGTTAAGGCCCGGGGCGGCGCGGAGGCGGGCCCCGGTCTCCAGGGCGACGGCCGCGCACTTCCGGCGGCGCCGGCCCGTACCATCGCGGGGCGCGCGCGGGGGGGGGGCGCGGGGCGCGGGGCCGGGGGGCCGCGGAGGGGCCCGGGGGGCGGCGGGGGCGGCGAGCGAGCGCGCGCGCCTGCCGGCTCGCCGGGGCTCGGGCTGGCAGCCCCCCGACGCCCGGGGCGGGCGCGGGCGCGGCCGGCCCGGCGCGGCCGCAGGGTCCGCCCCCCGCGCCGGGGCGGCCGAGTGCGGGCGTCCCGGCTGGGAGGTTTGAAAAGGCGGCGAGAGACAAAGGCGCAGGAAGCCCCCGGCCCCGAGCCCCGCGGGCCGCGCAGGCTGGCGGCGCCCAGGGGGATGCGGCCGGGCGGCGCCCCCCGAGCGCGGCGCGCCTAGGGCCGAGGGGCGCGGGGCGGGCGGCGGGCGGGCGGCGAGCGGGCGGGCGGGCGGCCGGCGCGGCCCCGCCCGGGATGTGAGCGCGCGGAGCCGGGGCGGGCGGGGGGCGGGCGGGAGGCGGCGCCGCGGGCGGGCAGGAAGGACGGGCGGGCGGGCGGGCGGACGGACGGACGGACGGACGAGCCGCGGCGGCCGGAAGGCGGGAGGCGCTGGCCGTGGGCCCAGGCGGCCGGGCCAGCCGCGACCGTCGCCGCCGGGCCCCGCGCGCCTCCCCCCGCCCGGGAGCGCAGCCCGGGAGGAGGAGGGGAGGGGGCGGAAGATGGAGACGCACATCTCCAGCCTGTTCCCCGAGCTGCTGGCCATGATCTTCGGCTACCTGGACGTGCGCGACAAGGGCCGCGCGGCGCAGGTGTGCACGGCCTGGCGGGACGCCGCCTACCACAAGTCCGTGTGGCGGGGGGTGGAGGCCAAGCTGCACCTGCGCCGGGCCAACCCGTCGCTGTTCCCCAGCCTGCAGGCCCGGGGCATCCGGCGCGTGCAGATCCTGAGCCTCCGCCGCAGCCTCAGCTACGTGATCCAGGGCATGGCCCACATCGAGAGCCTGAACCTCAGCGGCTGCTACAACCTCACCGACAACGGCCTGGGCCACGCGTTCGTGCAGGAGATCGGCTCCCTGCGCGCCCTCAACCTGAGCCTGTGCAAGCAGATCACCGACAGCAGCCTGGGCCGCATCGCGCAGTACCTCAAGGGGCTCGAGGTGCTGGAGCTGGGCGGCTGCAGCAACGTCACCAACACGGGCCTGCTGCTCATCGCCTGGGGCCTGCAGCGCCTCAAGAGCCTCAACCTGCGCAGCTGCCGCCACCTCTCGGACGTGGGCATCGGGCACCTGGCGGGCATGACGCGCAGCGCGGCCGAGGGCTGCCTGCGCCTGGAGCAGCTCACGCTGCAGGACTGCCAGAAGCTCACGGACCTGTCGCTCAAGCACATCGCGCGCGGGCTGGCGGGGCTGCGGCTGCTCAACCTCAGCTTCTGCGGCGGCATCTCGGACGCCGGCCTGCTGCACCTGTCGCACATGGGCAGCCTGCGCAGCCTCAACCTGCGCTCGTGCGACAACATCAGCGACACGGGCATCATGCACCTGGCCATGGGCAGCCTGCGCCTCTCGGGCCTGGACGTGTCCTTCTGCGACAAGGTGGGCGACCAGAGCCTGGCCTACATCGCGCAGGGCCTGGACGGCCTCAAGTCGCTGTCGCTCTGCTCCTGCCACATCAGCGACGACGGCATCAACCGCATGGTGCGCCAGATGCACGGGCTGCGCACGCTCAACATCGGCCAGTGCGTGCGCATCACCGACCGCGGCCTGGAGCTCATCGCCGAGCACCTGAGCCAGCTCACGGGCATCGACCTCTACGGCTGCACGCGCATCACCAAGCGCGGCCTGGAGCGCATCACGCAGCTGCCCTGCCTCAAGGTGCTCAACCTGGGCCTCTGGCAGATGACGGACAGCGAGAAGGTCAGGTGAGGGCGGCTGGTCCTACCCCCCCACCCCCGCGCCCCGGCCGGCCGGCCGCCGCCGAGGGATGCGCCGGGCCGATGTCTCTGGCCTCCTCCTCCCCGGGTCCCGGGCTGCTCTTGCCCCGGGATGGATGGAGAGGGGCCCGGCCGGAGCCGCCCTCTCCCTGCCCCCCGCCCCCTCGAGGCATTTGGCACTGGGGGTGGGCAGGCTGGTTCTTGCCGTCCTGGGGTGGGGGGGATGCGCCTGCGGAGATGCCCGCCTCGACTTCAGCGTCCCTTTGAATACTGTGATCTGGTTTTGAGTTGGAGATGGATGAGGAAAGCAACCCAGCTACAACGGCCTCTTCGCCCCCTTCCACGTTGGAACGAATTTCAGTCCCTTCTCATTTCTGCACCCGCTGCGGAACCCTGCCATCGCGCACATTTCATTTTGGATGCCCTTTCTCTTCCTCGGACAAAAAAAAAATGTTTGGAGAAATTTGGAATTACTTTTTCCCCCCTCTGCTGAATATATCCTATATATTATATATATATATAAGTTATATATATATATATCTATCTCAAAGTGTCTGGCTACCTCGTTTTAGTTTACTCTTTCCTCTGAAGCCCTGGAATTCTACAAGAGATATTTTGAGACTGAAACATTTTTGTGCCTAGACTGGAAAGATGCTCATTGGGTTTGTACATCTTTTTTTGTTCTGGCTTCTTCTCAAACCGCACCCGTCCAGTGTGCCCCATACCCACAATCTGGCTCTTTTTTTTGGGGGGGGGGCTGCCTCTCCTTGCCCATTGTGATTAGAACACCCAATGTTATTCCTAAATGTTGACTTAATTTATAGCACAAGTGTGTGGGAGAAATGAGAGTTGAACTGTTTTTGTTTGTTTGAGATGCAGATTGTGTCTTGAAGATGATGATTATATATGCAAATTCTGCCCTCCCCATCCTTACCCACTTGGAAGTTTCCCTATGAAAAGGTCACACAGTGAGGCCGGTCCGCGGGAGCAGAGCTGGCCTGAGCCTGAGCAAGCCCCGGGGCCTGTAATGTGAAGGGGAGGAAAGTGAAATTCATGTCTTATCTCTGTTCTGTTAATAAAAAGAAAAAAAGGGGGGAGGAGTTTGTGGGTTAAAAAAAAAAAGATTCTGTTTCCAAATGGAGGATTAGATGACTTTGTTTGGTGGCGTTGGGACTTGCGGCTTTAAAGAAAATTGCTTTTTGAGTAGGGTGTATGAATTTCTGTTGGATTTTATTTTTTTAGAGTCCTCCACAACAACATGTGAGACCATGGAGTTAAAAAAAAAAACCCAGAGACCTTTATCAATTAATTGTACTGTTTGTGAATTTGTATAAATAATAACAAAGATCCTCTTAAAACATTTATATTCTTACAGTAAAAGGTTAAACTGATATTTATATAATAAAAGAGGAAATATGAAGTATGTTTTTGAAAAAAAAACAAGACAAAAAACAAAATGCCTTGTTTCTGTGAATTATTTTTAAGGCAATGCGTGTTTGGGTCCCTGCCAAAGTAGGAGGTACTGTTTGTGTCCTCTTAAAAGGAAAAAAAAAGATACCGAGTTTGGTGCAGCCGTATGTGGTGTGAATAAGCTTGTGGTTAAAAACTTACTGTATAGGTTTACTACTGACACTGAAGCGTTTTGTTTTAGAAATGTGGGTGGACTGGAGATGGATCTCATTTTTGGTTTTAAACTGTCAACACGGTGGAAATGGAAAGAACTTGAACAAAACGAAACTTTAAAAAAAGAGAGAAAAAACAACTAGGTTTGTAAGAGTCACGATTGATTCCCCACCCCGCTAGGGTGGTCAATTTTTCTGGGGAACCAGATCCCAGGGAAGGCTGAGAGAGTGGGTCCCGAGATATGCAAGTGGGGAAGAGAGACTCGTGGGCTCGTGGGTGCCTAGTGGGTGCGGGAGGGTGTGAGAGGAGGCAGGGAACCGAAGCCATTGTTAGCAAAGTTAAAAGAGCGCCGAGCTCGCAGGCTTGCTGCGCAGTCATGCATACTGAATCCCAGTGCGGGTGAGGGTGAGGGTCCGAGAGGAAGGGAGGAGGGCGGCCCAGCCCCTCTCTTTAACATTCTCCACCAGCCCTCACTGTATTTAAGCACTTTCCCTGGGCTGGGGAGCTTGGCCTGGAATTCTCCCATATTTGCATTTTAAGCACTTGAGGCCAAAGCGAGCCTCTCTGTGGAGGGTTCTCAGCCTGAAAGCAGGCGGATAAATGAATGCCAACAATTCTAGCCAAGAGTCCCTTTAGGAGACAATAATCTGACACCCCGTGGTTGGTCTATGAAAACGAAGAGTTCGAGCGCACAAACAGAAGAGTGATTCATATTCTTGGTTTCACAGAGGGCTTTCTGCATTATTTTGAGTTCTTGGTTTTTGTTGTTGTGAGGTGTTTTCTTTTTCTCCCAGCCAAAAAAATACTTGATGCCAGCAGGAGCTGATACGAGTAGCATGAAACCTTGCAGGTTCGATACCGCTTTCCAGGAAGAGAACTAGAAAACAGGTTTCTCTGGGGGTGGGGGGGGGGTATAAGATGGTTCTGTAAAATTTCCAGGCTTTCTGCTTACATATCACAAAAGCTGCATTGTTCCTTTTTGGAGAGCAGTGAGACCCATTACAATCGGGTCTCACTGAGCCTGACACTAGATCCATCTTCCTTTTTCTTTGGGGAAGGTGTGGCTCTCTTTCTTCTCTCTTAGGTTACAGTGCTTACTGCCAGCGGGTGGGGGTCATAAGTGTGAAGCTTGGTAAGAAGTAGGGACTTTGAGTCAGAGTCAACTTCCTAGCTCAGCATTTGACATTACAGTGCAGGAAGGGAAAGCGATCTGCGGGGCCTTAGAGCGCTTTTCTTCCAGGAGGAGGCATGCATGACTGTACAGATAAAAACTTGAGCACTAGAGGCTGGAGCGACAGCACAGCGGGTAGGGTGTTTGCCTTGCGCGCGGCTGACCCGGGTTCGAGTCCCAGCATCCCGTAGGGTCTCCCGAGCACCGCCAGGAGTAACCCCTGAGCATTACTGGGTGTGACTCAAAAAAACCCAAAAAACTTGAGCACCGGGGCCAGGGAAATAACTCAGGAGGCTGGAGCACAAGCGCGTGGCATGTGGGAGCCCCAGGTTCAATCGCTGGGTGCCTGTGCCCTCCTCAGCACCCCTGGGGTGGCCCCAAAAGAAAAATGAGAAACATCTTCCAAGTCTTTTTTTTTTTTTTTTTGGTTTTTTGGGTCGCACCCAGCGATGCTCCTGGCGGTGCTCCGGGGACCATATGGGATGCTGGGGATCGAACCCTGGTCAGCCACATGCAAGGCAAACGCCCTACCCACTGTGCTATCAATCTAGCCCCAACCTCCCAAGTCTTAAGCTCTGCTTACTTTCTGCATTTTAACACCCAAAGAAACAATATCAACTGTTAACCAGAGTTTCCGCTTGTGTTTTTTTCTTTTCTTTCCTTCCTTTTTTTTTTTTTGCTTTAAAGGTTCAAAGAGAAGTTTGACTGTTGGTGGGTAAATTTGGTAGTTAAGGTCTTGGGTCTGCTGCCCTTCCTGAACTGGGCATCCTTAATCTGATAAGTCACTGGCTGCTAAACTTCCTCCCTGTTGGGATGGAAAGACATGAGAGTGTGCTGAGCACCCAGGGTGTGCTTGGCTATTTGTAAAGTTCTGTTGGTGCGAACCACTGAACCTGGTGACCTACTTTTCAGGTCATGGCATACTGCTTGCATTAACCCCCCCCCCCCCGCTACTAATTGAGGGGAGTCCGGCATCCAAACCCCCCAGTTGTAGCAGTGCACCTCCCTTCTGGTCTGAGGAGGTCCAAATTGTCAGCAAGGTGCCCCTCACAGAAGTGAGCTGTTCGAACACATTCTGTCACTGTCACTGTCCTCCCATTGTTCATCAATTGTTACTTGAGCGGGCCCAGTAACATCTCTATTGTGAGACTTGTTACTGTGTTTGGCATCTCCAATACGTCACGAGGAGCTTGCCAGGCTTTGCCTTGCGGGCGAGATACTCTCGGTAGCTTGCAGGGCTCTCCGAGAGGGGCGGAGGAATCGAACTCGGGTCGGCCATGTTGGCTGCGTGCAAGGCAAACGCCCCACCGCTGTGCTATCGCTCCAGCCCTTTGAACACATTATGTGAGCAAGTTCTTACTGCAGGCACTGCTTAAGGGGGATAAAGAGGTGGGTTTGGGGGCCTTGCCTGTGACTGACCCCAGTTCCAGTCCCTGGCACTGCAGGGTCTCCCCAAGCATCTCTGGAAGTGAACTCATCTGCCTCAGAGTTGAGAGTAGCCAGTTGTGGCCCTAGCCTCCTCAACATCCTCCCTGCCCCCGTCCCTTGCCCAGTTGGCCTGGGGCTGGAGAAATCATAAGGGTGGAAGGCACAGGCTTTGCATGCAGCTGACCCAGTTTGGCCCTCTGTACCACACAGTTCCCCAGCACTTCTGGGTATAGCCCAGGAGACCCTGAGTACCTTTATGGGGTGTGGGGAATCCTCAGCACCCCAGGGCCTGAGCAGTGTCACCTTGCCCTGCCCAAGGCCTGATTGGCAGAGAATCTGTGGGAGAACCCCCAGGGCCCTCCTAACACGGGTGCATTATACCATGCTGAGAGGAACAGAAAGAAATGTTTTTCTAGAACAAGCACGCGGGAAAATGAGTCAGTACAAATCTTGTGGGTGGTACAAAACTTAGAAGGCACTCAGGGGCCAGAGAGAGCACAGCATGTAGGGTGCTTGCCTTGCACAGGGCCGACCTGGTACAATCCCTGGCATCCCGGAAGGTCCTTGAACCACCGCCAGGAATCATTCATGAGTGGAGAGCCAGGAGTAACCCCTGAGCATCAGGGGGTGTGGCCCAAAATACACACAAAAAGGCACTCGAGGGCAGTTTTTTAGAAAAACAATTAAAAAAAAAAACAAAATTGTTTTGTGTATCTATTGAAAAACCCAAACAGGAACTTAGTATAAATGTCATCATCTAGAAGCTATAAACCTCAAGCAACAAGGGAATCGGGAAAGGCCACCCTTTGAGTCCCTTCCCTCTCGGTTTCCTCGGGATTCCAGCTTCGTGGTCAGGAGTGTCTGGAGCCCGAGGGGCCTTTAGCGCAAGCTGGTCACTGCTTCCCAGAGGGCACTCCTCCCTGCTAATTTATAACACATTCGGCAAAAGGGCCAAAGATGCTTGTCTAACCTACAGTCCCTTCCTGAATAGTAAAAACACAAACTGCGTGGGAATCTTTCATGATTCAAACCAACCACAAAGATGGGGAAAAAGCCAGTGTACCAGTCTCTCATTTTAAAAATTGGATTGTGTTTTCTTTTTTGCTTTTTGGGTCCCACTGGTGATGCTCAGGAATTACTCCTGGTGGTGCTGTGGGAGGGGGCAGTGTTGGGGGGGACCACATGGGAACCTCGATCCTCCTATCTCTCCAGCGCCTGGGTTTTGATTTGAGAGATAAGACTTCTGCTCTTTTATCAGGACGCCTTATGCGTCAAGTTATGGCCTAATCCCCAGATTCTGGCGTTTCCCCACGAGAGTTACTAGAAAGATTGATTCAGGCCTTGGGATGGGAGCGAGACCTTTCACTTTTGACTTTGTTTTAGTTCGAATTTCCAAAGGGGGAAAGGGTAGCTGGCCCCAGGGAAGACAGTGTTGCAAAAGACTAAGAACCTCTTCACTGAAAGAGCAACTTTGTAAAACAGAACGGAGTCCTCACCAGCTTCTGGCTGACTACGCTGGTAGGGGAAGGCCTTAGCCCGCCCTCGGCTGGGCTTCCTAGAAAGAGACTCCGTGTGGTCAACCATCCGTCCACACCCCACCACGAGGGGTCACACAGCTGGATATTGGGGGCCTCTCGAAAGATTCGGCAACAGTAAGAGGTTCCTGAATATTCCACAACCAAATATCAATTCAAAACCAAATGCAAAAGGAATCCAAAGTGTTTCTGGTAGCGTTTGTTACTGTTGCATTCCACCCTTGGATGAAAAAGGGTTGTGAGTGGAAAAAGGTCCAAGAAGCCCTGGGCTCGAGTTACTTCTACAGCATGGTTGCCTTTCTCTTTCCCTGCATCATGCTCCCTTTTGGGCAGGGGGTGGCTCCAGAGGCTAGCGTGCAGACTGCAAAGTGTGAGACCCAAATTCAGTCATCCCTAGGAGTGACCCCACTGTATAAGGCCCCTAGGAGCACTGGACAGGAGTAGCTGCTGAGCGCTGCTGGGTGTGGCCTCAAATACAAAACCCCTACCACTCTCTTTGAAAGTTAATTCTCTTCCTTTACTAAAGTCCAAGTTACTTTAGTAAACTTCAGTTACTTCAATAACTTTCACTTATCACTTAAAAAAGTTAATTCTCTTCCTTTACTAAAGTCCAAGTTATTTTAGTAAACTTCAGTTACTTCAATAACTTTAGTAAAGTCCAAAGTTGGAACTTGGTGCTGTGCAGCCGCCCAGGCATCCG